TGGAGAGAATGTTAATGCGGAGAAAGATGGAACTTCCAACATCTGGAACTTCATGATTCTAATTTGAAATAGTTTGAAGATGAACTAAACAGTTACCTATTGTCTGGCTCTTAGATCTACTTGCTGTAATTTATAGTGTATATCTGTAAGAAAATATAAATTATGAATAAGAGAATGCATTCTCTGGTTGAGAGCAAAGCTTAAACATATGTTAAGAAGCAAAATTAGAACCTGCAATGAGAAATTATATATCATTCAATAAATTCTTTATTTTAATATTTTTAGATACTTTTTTCATAATCTTAATATTTAAAATCTATATAGAATATTTAAATTATATAAATAATATTCTCTTTGTATCTAAAGAACTTTGATTTACTTGGTCATCTTATTCGAATTCTTTTTTTTTATGTTATTTCACATAATAATGAAGCAGAAAAATATTGTATTTATATAAAATAAGATACAGTATTTTATTATAGTTTATCGAATCAATTTCTAAATCCTAAATTAATTAAGAAATTAAATAATAAAAAAAAGAGAAAACTCCATATTTTTAATATCGAACAATAAATTTATTTTTAGATGCATAAATGTTAAGATTCATTCTTATTCTATTTAGTCTTCCTCTCCTTCTTATTCTTCTATTTAAAGCGCTCTTCCAAAAGGGAAAAATTTTGTTTTCTTTTCTTGAATACATTTTTTTACATATTTCTCCAAAGAATTACAATCATTTGGATCTTTATTTTTAATATAAATTATGTAGTATAACATATGATATACGTTATGTTCCAAGTAAATATGATAATGCCAACCTTTTGTACCTCTAAAGGAAAGATAAATAAATGTTTTACTTTGTATCAATATCATTTTTATCCTGGCTACAAATAAAGCACTTGCCTTCAATTTCCTTAACCAAAGCTTGTCTTTCATCTCTTAATTCGCCAAAAGTATCCAACATGATACCAAATATGATTTAAATAAAAAGGATATTAAAAATGATAAAAAAGGTAAAGTCGAAGAAGTATCTCCCCCAATATAAAGCAGGATCCTCATAAGCATCTGGATAACTAGTCAAAGATTCTCCTAAACCTCCACCATTTCTCAATCCAAAATTAATTGTTGAAGTAACAGCAAGTATAAAGGTATTGCCATAAACACCTTCTTCATCATCAAACATCTAGTCAAAATTAGAGAAGGCAATTATTGCATAGATTAATAAACCAATTAATCCTAAGAAGGAAAATATAGCTAAATTTTGACCATTGGATGTAATTGATTTTATGATATTTTAGAGATCCTCAGATCTTTTGATGATATCTAATAAAAGTATAGCATATATATAAGGATTAAAGAATGCATATACGGTTAGGCCAAAAATGCAAATCTATTATTATTAATATATATATATCTTACATTATAGAAATTATCAAAGTCAAAAAATATAACCAAAATTAATTTCTTCATTATACTGTTATTTACTTGATGTTCTTAAAATTCTGATTCAAAATATCCTATTAAACTATAATATTTCATCGTCAACCATGAAATCTAAAATCCTGCTTCTTTTTTTAATATTTGTACTCTTTTTGCGTTTGTCTGTCCTCTGTTATATGTAATTGAAATAGGATATCTTTCAATGGCACAAAAGAAAACTATAATTAGATTTAAAACTAACTAAACAACAGTAATAATCTAATATAGCCTAAAAATATGTATACATTATTTAAATAACTAACAAAGGTTTCTCCAGATGTTATATTTTAATCTTCAGGTGCTTAAGTATTGGATCCTATTTTGCTATTTATTACAGTATCATGCATAAATATGAGTAAAACTACAATAATTAGACACAAAATGAAGGATATATCCTTTAATAATCTCCAATAGACAGCTCCAAAATGCATTGTTTTTCTATTATTAATTTATTAAGAGTGCCTCATTTGAACTTAATAAAATTCAGAAAATTCAATTAATCCGAACATTCTATCTTCATCCGTTTCTCTATCAATTTCATATATCAAATGTTGTTTTATATTTGGAGTAATAAAGTTACAAACAAATGGTTTTTAAAAATAAACTTTTTCTAATTAATTGTTTTCATTTTGTATTTCTATTCTTCCTGTAAATTTTCTATAAAATTTAAAGAATCTCTAGACTCTAGTGAACTAATAATTTTTGTTATTTCTAATATTCAAATAAATATTTTTAAAGCTTAAATCGTTAAATTTTGATTCATCTTTCACCAACAAACCATCAACTTCATCTTAATTATAATCAAATTAGCTTCTTTAATTTAAAGGTAAAATTTATTTATTTGATATTTTTTTCTTTTTTTATTGTTATTCTACTTGAAAATCATCTAAATCTAAAAAATCTTGTTATTCCTCTTATTCTTCATCAAATTTGAATAATTCCAATTAAGAATCATCTGAAAAATGTTCTGATAATTTAAGACATATGATAAATATATTAAATCCTGTTTGTATTAACATATTGTCTTCATCTGTTCTTAATCCAAAATGACATAAACTATTAGTGCAATATCTATGATTTCCTGTTTCTGATTCATCACAAATATTATCTAAAATTATGTTTCTTTATTTTGGTTTGATTCTTTCTTCATAAATAGATTTTGCTATTCTTATCAAAAAAGTAATATTAACAGTATCTTTAATGAATTCTAATGATTAAAGATCCGCTCTTCCTTAGGTCAATAATAAGAGTAATTTGATAAAAGATTACAATGTTTAATATAAAGCATAATTTTTTTTACCTTCATCAGAACCAATTCCTCTTGCATCCATCATTATGACATCATCTAATGATTAATTCACTTATTGTCTTTCCTTTAAAATCATTTTGTTTTCTTAATAAAGCTAACATAAACTTTACAGTTCTTATTTTTGCAATATTGAATTTAATAAAGTAAATAATCTTGTATTTTTACATAACTCCTTTTTATTTTCAACATAACCTGTAGAAAATTCAACTAAACTTTCTAAAGCTTATCTGTATATTTCTTATAATTTATAAAATACTTTTTATCCTTTTTCTAAAAGATTAGCTAATAAACTAGCAACTTCATTAACAATATTAATATTAGCTTAATATGAATCATCATCATATTATTATACTAAAAATCTTTAAAAATCCATGTTTAGATTTTCACATAAAACTTGTAATAATTATAATACCTTAAGGCAGAGTAGTTTATATTAAGTATTATCACTTTCAGCTAATTCTAATTCTTTAATTCTTATATCTAAATCAGTTAAGAAGAATCTTCTTAAAAATACTAAAAACTGTTATTTCACATTTTCTTCCTTTAACAAGTTATAAAATTTTCTCTATATGTATTCATTTCCAAAATCTAATAAATGAATTAAAAATGTCAATGCTTCAATTTTTTATTGATCTTCATCAGTTTAATTCAAAATTTCTAATGCCAGAATATCAAGTTAACCATCAGCCATAGCCCTTTAAAATTTTATATATATTTCCTTTTTTTCCCTGATTTCTAATTTAGATTCTTCATCTTTTGCTTCAATCAAAGAATCTATCTCATCTTGAGTAGGCCTTTTCAGCTACAAAAATATTCTGCATAATTTAATTAAATAAATTTCTTTATTTAAAAATATTTCTTAACATTTTTTCAAAAAGTCTTTTAAATTATCTAAACAAAATAAATTGGTTTATTATTTCTCTAATGATTTTATCATTAGTTCTATTTACACATCCTCAGAGATTAAATTTCCATTTAATTCAAGCTATCCTCCTAATTTTTTATAATATTTTGCAATTAAGCGTATTTTAGCCAATTAAAAGTCTTTTTTCAAGCAATCTAAATTTTCTTATTAACGTTAATATGTTTAAATCTATTAAGAAGTAATAAAATTTGTGTTAAATTTTCTTTCAAACTATTCCCTCATTGCTTATTTAAATCATTCCCAATCCACAAATGTTTTGTTTCTATTTTACACCGATTCTTAATTTTTTATACGAGCAACATCTTATTAATATATTTTTTCAATATCTTCTAATTAAATATACTATTTATTAATGTTGCAAGTCTTGATAATCTTTCTTAATTTTTCTTAATCAGTTAATTTTGAGGCATCTTTTTCAATAAAAGAACAAAATTATTTAATATTTACTTTATATCTTATCAAATATATTTTAAAGTTTCTCTTAAATGAATTTTCAATCCTCTATACATTATCTTATTCTTGTAGTTTTTTTTCTCCAATCTAATCTGCCTATAAAGTATCATATTTATCAAATAATAATTAATCAGTATTTTTGCCTTATAAAAAACCTATTCTGAAATTTTTACCAAATTTTGTAATTTTCCTTTTAGGTATTATTTCTTCTATTGAAATAATCAATTCTCTATAATCATCTAAATCTAAGTCTTCTTTTTTTACTCTAAAGTCTCTTTCCAAAACATTAAATATTTCTTTAATTTTTTAAACATTTTATTTTATAATTGCAAATTCATCTGATAAACCAGAATTCTCTTGATTTTCAATATCAGTTCTATCCTTCATTTCATCATAAGTGTATACTAAAAAGTGAATAATTCCATCTTTCCTTAAATATGTCCAAAATTCACTACAATCTCTAAGTATTCCTAATTCTTTATCGGGTCCTGTATCTATAGACAATCTATTTTCAAAATAACTTCTTTTTTATCTTTATATCTACTCTCTCAAATCCCTTTGAGTTACCTTTTTATTCTAATCTAAATTTATTAGTTTAGCCAACCCTTCTAAAAATTTAAATATTTGTTTCTAATCTAATTCAGGTATTATTATTCTTGATAAAATGTCTCTTACTTCATCATTTTCAACAGTATCATTACTGAAATCTCTCTCTTTTACTTTATTAATATATAATTCAAATATACATTATAAGTAGGCTCTCTTAACAATGTATTCAGTATCTGAATGTAAAAGAATTGATTTTAATTATTCATATAATAATATTCTTTACATTTCTTAGATTCCTAATCTGTATTATTAACAACACTATGTGATTAGAATTATCAACTAAGCATGTAACTTAATTCTATGATAATGTAAATTATCATTTTATTATTCTAATGTTGATTCAGGAACTAATATTTTGCTATAATTATTTATTGGTTCTAATAACATTCTCAAAAATTAAGTTTTTAAAATGGAATTTAAAATCAAATGCTTATTGACATAAGACTGTTAAGCTGGAATTTTAAATGTCTTGGTTAAACATCTTAATATTCTTAAATATTGGATTAAACTAAAATAAGCTACTGCATCCTATTGTTACTATCTAGGAATGATCTTCCTTTCAATGGTCTAATCTTTTAAAATATATGCTTTCACAAAAAACTCTTAACTCTTCATTAATTCATCTCCTAATTTTTTTATTCTTCTAAAGACATTCATAATAAAATTATCATGTTCACATATTGGAATTGTGGATATTAATTATACTACAAATTTAGTAACTTTTATTGGGATGTAATACCAATCCTCAACTTCTTGTTGATCAATTTAAATGATATCAAGCAATTTATACAAATACTCTTTTTAAGCTAAAATTGCTATATTTGTTTCATTATCCTTTGTGAAGTATTCAAAAAATAAAATCAATCTCTTATAAAATTAAACAATATCAAGAGAACTACACACACTTTAGGGTTTTACTAAAAATTATAGAAATACCAAATGAACTCCTGCATTTCTAACAATATTTTAAAATGATTTTAAGTATTAAACTTTTTAAGAATTTGGTTAAAAGAATTATTCAAATTATTTAATTATTTATTCTTAATAGTTTTTTAATAAATCAAATGATTTTATATGTTTTATTTTTTCTTCTTTTCCATTAGTATTTTGAATTAATTTAATTGCTCTTTTAGTTTAAATTTATGCTTCTTTAGGGCTAATTATCTAATCTGTATTTGAATTTCCATTAATTATTGAAAAATATTCTAATTCCGTTGAATCATCAATAATTTCAACTTCTTTAATTTCATTTATTGAATTTTTAGGAGCATGAAAATTCTAAATTAAAATTTCAAGCAAATCCTCATTTAATTTATTTCTTTTTTCTAATGAAAGTAAACAACAAAACAATAAAGCACTAAAACTATTGCCATCTGGTTCCTTAAAAACATTAAATATTGTTTTCTATGCTAAAGTTTTTTACGTTATGATTTAATCTTCTTAATTAATGTTTTGAATTTCATTATCGTCATTTTAATCAAGTTTTCTAGAGCTTGGAGAATTAAATTTTTATTAATTTCCTTATTATTTACCAAATAAGAAATCTAATATTTCAAGATTCAATTTTAAGAGACTAAAAATTTTTAAATTTAAAGACCTTCTAAATAAATTTTCATTTTTAATAATTCATCATCACAATATTAAAATGTCCAAATCAAAAATTAAAGAATCCAATTTCGTTAAAATTGAATATCATATTTAATTACTTAATGAAACCACTTCTGGCTGATTATATTTTCTGATTATTCTTAAGTAGGTTGTAAATAGGTATTGACCCATAAATTATTTTCAATAGATTTTTTTAAATTTAATAAATTAGATTCAAAACTTTCATTATCTTTGAATTTATAAATCTTATTATCTTATCTTTATTGTAAAATTAAGGCAACAAACATGTTTGGTAATATTGAAAAAATCCTGTAATTTTCTTACAGATTATTATATCCTAAATCAATACTGTTTTTTATTATTTATAGAATTCCNTTTATACAAATACTCTTTTTAAGCTAAAATTGCTATATTTGTTTCATTATCCTTTGTGAAGTATTCAAAAAATAAAATCAATCTCTTATAAAATTAAACAATATCAAGAGAACTACACACACTTTAGGGTTTTACTAAAAATTATAGAAATACCAAATGAACTCCTGCATTTCTAACAATATTTTAAAATGATTTTAAGTATTAAACTTTTTAAGAATTTGGTTAAAAGAATTATTCAAATTATTTAATTATTTATTCTTAATAGTTTTTTAATAAATCAAATGATTTTATATGTTTTATTTTTTCTTCTTTTCCATTAGTATTTTGAATTAATTTAATTGCTCTTTTAGTTTAAATTTATGCTTCTTTAGGGCTAATTATCTAATCTGTATTTGAATTTCCATTAATTATTGAAAAATATTCTAATTCCGTTGAATCATCAATAATTTCAACTTCTTTAATTTCATTTATTGAATTTTTAGGAGCATGAAAATTCTAAATTAAAATTTCAAGCAAATCCTCATTTAATTTATTTCTTTTTTCTAATGAAAGTAAACAACAAAACAATAAAGCACTAAAACTATTGCCATCTGGTTCCTTAAAAACATTAAATATTGTTTTCTATGCTAAAGTTTTTTACGTTATGATTTAATCTTCTTAATTAATGTTTTGAATTTCATTATCGTCATTTTAATCAAGTTTTCTAGAGCTTGGAGAATTAAATTTTTATTAATTTCCTTATTATTTACCAAATAAGAATTCTAATATTTCAAGATTCAATTTTAAGAGACTAAAAATTTTTAAAATTTAAAGACCTTCTAAATAAATTTTCATTTTTAATAATTCATCATCACAATATTAAAATGTCCAAATCAAAAATTAAAGAATCCAATTTCGTTAAAATTGAATATCATATTTAATTACTTAATGAAACCACTTCTGGCTGATTATATTTTCTGATTATTCTTAAGTAGGTTGTAAATAGGTATTGACCCATAAATTATTTTCAATAGATTTTTTTAAATTTAATAAATTAGATTCAAAACTTTCATTATCTTTGAATTTATAAATCTTATTATCTTATCTTTATTGTAAAATTAAGGCAACAAAAAGGTTTGGTAATATTGAAAAAATCCTGTAATTTTCATACAGATTATTATATCCTAAATCAATACTATTTTTTATAATTTATAGAATTCCCAAAAAGTATTTTAATTAATAATTTGCTAATCTTTTATAATCAATATTTATCTATTCTATATTTGATTTAGATGGTTAAAATATATTGTTATTAAATTCTAAAACTTTGAAATGATCTGGATAATCACTTTAATTAATCAGATTGATATAATAAGTTATTACATCATTTATTTACTTTCTAGATAGCATTTTTTATGCAAATTATTTCAAATATTGATGTTCTGCTTTAGCTTCTTTTGAATTTAAAAATTTCTTATATTCTTCACTTCGTTTCAATTATTTTGTAGCATTTTATTCATAAAAATAAATCCCTGATTAATTTTAAATGTCAAACTAATCTAAATCATCATTCAAATAGCATTTGTTATCAAACTATGAAATTTTTATTAATGGATCAATATCTAAATATAAATTACAAAATAGTTCTATTCAAGTTCTCTCAAATCTAAGTTCTGTTTTTATTTTTTTCTGTCTTTTCAAACAGATTTCGAAAAACTTTTAATTTAAAAAACAATTTTTCATTAAACATTTGATACTTTTTTAATTTCTTCCCTTACATAATGATGAATATAAATCCATTACGTTCATTAAATAATTTTCATATTTCTAAAATATTGGTACTACTTTATGATAATCTTCTGATCTCACCAATTAATTTTCCTTTAATGTTTCAGTAGTAAAGAAATCAATCGTAACATCTACCAAAGGAGGTCTTTGTTTCTTAAATCTATTACTACTTTTGATCTATTTTTCAACAAACCTTAGATATAATTGACAAAAAGTTGGATTATTTTCCCCAAATTAATGTGATAATTATAGTAGTGTTCCTTTTTCTCTTTTTGGAGAAAATAGAACATATGGATAATAATTTAATTTTCTTCATAAATATCCAATGCAATTAAAGCCTTACAAAAAGGAAAAGATTGATCAGGTTAATGTTTACTTCCGAATAATAATCTTCTACAAGAGTCTTAACAAAAAGAATTTGGATTTTCATAAGGATCAATCATCATCAAACTTAATATTTCAATATATAATGCTTAATCCTCAATGTTTTCTTCAGTTATTGGCTAGAGTTCATTAACCCATTTCTTTAAACTAGTTTTTGTATCACTCATATCAGTATAACGCACAATTTCTTTAATTAAATTGGATACATGTTCCCTTTAATACTTTAATTATTAAAGCAAAAAATCTAAAATACTCTCTTTATTCATTTCTAAACTTAATACATAATAGCTTGTTTCTGGATTACTTTAAACACAGAGACTCAAAACAGAATAGATTTCTTAAATGCAATTCATTTTTTTGGATTAAGTAATAAATGGATCTAATTTCATTTTGGCTATTTTTTAAGGACTTTTATCTTAAATAATATTTGTATTCTCTTTGAGATTTCCATAGATCATACAATTACACAATCTTAAAATTGCAAAAAGTAAACTTATAATATCATTATCCATTACAATCTTTTAATTACTCTATTATTATTCATTAGATTAAGGCATTCCATCATTTGTTAAATACATTTTTAAATTATCCAAATTTTGAAATAGTTATAATATTTAATCAAATAATAATTTTTGATTATTGAAAGCTTGATAATATTCATATTTTCGTTTTTCTTCTTAATGTTTTTAGAAAGGTTTTACTACACCCCAATCTTATAAAAATAAGTAAAACTAAATTAAATATTCTTGAAGAGAATTAATCCTTAATGATATTTTCTAGAGTTCCTAAGAAGTTGACTTCAATAAAAAAGTTGCTTTTTCTATATTTTATTTTTAACTTTTTCTTTACACTGCAACTTTCTTATCATCTTAGCAAACTAAAACTACACTTTCTTTTGCAATATAATTATCAATTGATATTGTGATTGCTGATTATATTTTAAATGTCTCACTATAAGAAATTGGATCAATTGATTATTTTTTACATTTCAGATTAAATTGACATTCCATCTTTAATCCATCATAAGTTAATCCAACTCCATTATTTGTAATTTATAACAATAATCCAGTACAAACATGTCTTATCAAAAATACACTTTCATAAGTTGACTTTTAATATATTAAACTATCAACATGCTAAATTTACCATAAACAGTTTAAATTTTCATCTGCTTCTTATGTAGTATCAACATATAATTAATACATTTAATTAATTTTTTCATTTCTTATTTTATCCACATCAAAATAATATTGATTTATTGAATATTATATATTAGTTTCAGAATAATTTATAATTAATTCTTTCTTATCTAATTCATCAGTAATTCTTTTTATTCTCTTAATACATAAGTATCCTCCAAAATACCTGTTCTTTATGGTTAAAACGTCACCACTCTGTAAATACTTTCCCTTAATTTATTATTTATTAATATCTTCTTCTGTTTTATTGTCAATGTAACTTGAAATTTTTAATGGATAGGCCTTTTCTGATGCATTTACTTCAAGTCCATCTTTCTTATAAACATTATCAGATGGCATTTGCACACTTAAATTCCATTGTGATTAAATACAATTTTAGATAATAATTTAATCTCCATACAATATTGGTTCACCTGCATTTTTTACAGAATTCATTGGTAAAATTCTAAAGTTTGAATATTAATTTGAATTTTCCTCTAAGGATAGTTCTCTACAACAATTTTCCTTTGCTAAAACATCACTATTGAGAGAAAGTGTGCAACCTGAATAAATATGTAATAGCTAAATTTCTTAACCATAAACAATATTAGATCCATATAAATGATTGTATAATCTCTCATTCTCATTTATTTCCTCATCACACTTTTTTTGAAATTCTTCTATTTTTTAATCAAAATCAGAAGTCCACTTATCCAATTCATTCTGGTAGGTCTCATCTGCAGCGATATCCCTTATTGAATCTACAGGCTTCTCTCTTTATACCTTATATTAATTTTAATATAAGTATTTTTTTCCTGTAATTACTTAAAATAAACATTTTTAGAAAGATAGGCTCCCTACCTTAAACTATAAGCTATTTTGTGATGAGATATCTTGTAATTTATTTTTTCCTAATATTTACACACATTCTAATTTATTGCTTGCAATTCCATCACCAGATATTACTCCTTTAAAATCATCACTAAAATAAGATTTAAAATAGATAATATCACCTACTTTTAGATTGAAGTTTCGCCTATTATATATTAACAATTTACTTTTGATTCTTCACATTATCTACATTTTAAGGTACTGGGTTAAAATTATGAGTTTGGGCCATAATATTGTCAGCTCCATTTTAATATTGATTCCTCAAATTTGGAATAGAGGATAAGTCAATCATTAATAATAATTAATTTAAAATACATATTGAGTTCAATTACATTCGTTTAAATTGCAAATTTTTTTAAATTATTAATGGAAATTGATAGAAATGATTAATTTTCATTAAAAGAAATTAAATAATAAATTTTATCATCTATTCTACATTTAAGTGTTAAATCTTAATTTTCACTTAACTTCTTTTGATATAGATATATAATAAAAATTATTTAAGATTTTCTCAAAATTGTCTTGAAATTATGGAACTTTATTTCACAATCTATCATTTAGAACCGAAATCATAAAGCATAATTTGAAGTCTGTTCTATATTAAATCTACTTTGGCTGTTAATTTAAAATATTTTAAATGTGATTAGCATTGGGTTTCATAAAATCTTCACTAATTCAATAAAAAAATTAATAATATGAAAATATTATATGATAAATAATTTATAAATTGCACCACTAACTGCTCTTCACAAATTACTGTCAGTCAATAAGCCAATCAAAATTAATGATAAACTTCATGAATCATAAAAATAAAAGAGTCTTTAAAAATCTATTTAAAATTTAAGCAGCAGCTAATGTGAAATGATGAATACTAAAATGAAAAATAAATTGCCAACTCCAAAAAATACAATTGATTTATCCTTAAGATAAAGTCTTGGCAAAATTAGTAACAATAACGATAGTGGAATAAAAACTAACAAAAATATTAAAAATGAACTTATATCAGTCCTCAGAAAAGCTTAGAGTTAATCTAAAAAAAATAATAATCTAGAAAAATTATTAAGCACTTCTAATGCTCCTAAATAATTTAGTAATTTAGAAAGTTTTAAAATGAAAAGACCTCCTTTACTTTAATATTTAGGTGAAGAAAATGAGAAATTAAAAATTCAAAGTGCAAAAAGTGCTACAGAAAAAAATAAAAGTCCTGAAAATAGATATTCATCTGGTATTAATTTTAAATATTTTAGGATTTTTTACAAGTACTAATTAAAGGTAGTAGTAACTATTTGGATCCTTGAATGAAGTTTTGAAATAATATATCCAATGCAAAAGCTAACAGAAGTGTAAATAAATTTATTAATTTAGAGGCTGGAACTGGAGAAGGTATCAAAGTTTGTAAATCTGCTAGAAGTACTTAGTAGTAACTATTAATGAATGACCCAGAAAATCAAGAGAAATACTTCCCTAAGCAAAAGTCTGATTATTCCAAAGGATAATCAAAAATACTTCATGAGAATTTACATAATTTATTTTTAAAGACTTAGAATGTATTAGCCAAATACTAAGCCAAAGAACTTTAATGGAAAAAATAAAAAAAATAATTAAGAGATGAAATTAGGATTCTTAAATAATTATTGAAATAACAGCAATTATAAAATTAAATATATCACTGATATTATTAAAGTATTTAATAAATTATAACTCTTACAAATAATTTCTTATTTTGTTCAACTTCTTTTAATACAAAAAACTTAATTTTCTTAAGAATTATATTCCAAAAATTAATCACTTACAAGAAAATTAAATTTATCTGCCTTTCATATTCAAGATAACTACACATAATTATCTAATTTAATACTTATTTATTTGATTATAATTTTAAAAATAGGCCTCAGATTATCAATAAAATTAAAAATAAAATTTATAGATTTATCAAAAGTTTGAATCATAATTAAAACCTAAAAATCCTTCTAATAATCTTTTATTAGTTATATTTTCAATGAAAACTCATAAATTTAGTATTTATATAATTCATAAATAATCCAAATTTCCTTAATAATAATTTATTTTCATTTTATTTTTATTTGATAAATTATTTATATTGTGAATTTTTAGTTACTTATTAACAGATCATTGTTTTTGATTTATTTTACTTAAGTAATGAAATTTAATCTTATAAAATGAATAAAAAAAAAAACCTAATTAAAATAGTATTTTAAATTATCAAATATAAATAATGTTTCATTAAATATTGTTCTAATTTAAATATTTATTAATAATTATTTTTTCTAATAATCATAAGTAGGACTTCTTTTCTATCTTATAATAATTTTGAGTAAGTAATTTGTGATTTTTTCTATATTTAATTAATTGATTCTTAAACTTGATTTTTATCCAATAAATCTAATGATTGATAGATTTTCAAAATATATAGACATATTAATATGTTAATAAAAATTACATAAATTATTTACTCATTACATTTCCTGATATTTTTTATTTTTAATGCATTATTTACATATTCTAAAGTCACAATAAGTACATTAAAGGGCAATAGGTTAAATCATATCATCTCCTTTTTTATCACAAACAGAGCACCTAAAATCATCTGTAATTTGATTCAGATAATGTTTGGACGGACATTAAGGTTAATTTGGTTATTTTTCAATTTTTAATTCAGGAAAGCAGCATTTGAAACAAACGAAAATTGTACATTATTAGCAGAAATATCTACATGTAGTATTTTGCTTTTAACATTTTGAACATTTTTGTTTCTTCTCCTCTCCAGAAGGCTTTTTCCAAAATTTTAATTTATGATTTTTTTCACAAAAAGTTTAATTACAATCAATTAATTCTCCTTTAGTAATAAGTTAAGTTTATTATTGTTGTTATTATTGTTATTATTATTATTATTATTATTATTATTATTATTATTATTAGTATTATTATTATTATTATTATTATTATTATTACTATTATTATTGTTATTACTATTATTATTGTTATTATTATTATTATTTTTATTAATTTTCCATTTAAGCCTTTTTTTAATTAATTTTTTCTTAATTGTTTTCATAAATCTATTATCTTGTCTTTAAATCATTTTTCAATTGTTTATTTTCTTCTAAAAGTGTAATAATTTATTATTTAGATGAATTTATTTCATTAATTCTTTAATTCTATTAATTTTTCATTTCTAAAATAGCAAAATTTGATTATTCCTTATAATCTTAAAATTTCTCCTGAAATTAATTAACCATTTACTAAAGTTAAAGAAGACATCTATGACTCTTTAGATCTTCCAAGGTCAATTATTATTAGCAAATTAAACAATTTTATGTTTTGTAAAATGTGCACATATTTTTCTTAATATTCTTTAAAGATATACATGTGATTCTATATTTCTTCTTTATAATATTTATCCACATTTGCAATTTATTTAATGATATAAGCACTCTGACATGTGTTTAATAACATTTTCTTAAACCATTTCAATTTTACATCCTTCATTGTGATTGATACATTTGAACAATATTTTTGAAAATTAATCTCTAATCATGCGATGAGGCTATTTAGTTTAAAAAGGTCCATTACAATTTTCTTCTGGGCATCTTTAAATTATTATTAATTATACTTATCATATGATGATTTAGATATTTAAAAGCATTATTTGCAATAAAGATTTTCACATTAAATGCACTCAACAGGATCTATAGCGAGATTTTTACAAATTTTGCACAAAAGGTTTTCATTGGGTATTCCAATCGGAATATAATGTAATCTATCATAAAATTACATATTAATAAATAAATAATATATCAGAGTAAATAAGTGTTCACCTATAATATAAATATGCTTCTGCTTCTAAACACTTAAATCTTGATTAATTGCTTATTTTCTAAAATTTACCCAATCTCCTTTCACAATCATTAATTTTAGCTAATAAACTTTAAGGCTGTTCGAAATCCAAAGATAAATTAGTTTATTCAATTATACTACCATTTAAAAGCAATTTATTTTTTATTGCCTTTACTTATTTCTATTTAATCTAATCTTATAAATTGATGTTGAAATAATTCAATTTGTTTAAGTAGTCATAATCAAATTTTAATGTTTCAAGTGACTTTTATAATAGTTCTTCAGGTGATAATAATATCGATTGCATATCAGGTGATAGAGCTTCTCGATTCAACAACTTATCTATAGTTAGATCTAATTCAGGTTCTACTCCAATGATAAATTTAGACATAATGAATGATTTAGAGATATTTCTTCTTAATTTAAAATGATATTCAAATTACGAAATGTCATTAGGACAATTAGGTTTAATTTCTTTAAAGAAGGTATGTATAATTTTTCTTGTTTTATAATAAAACTTACTTGCTTAGACCTTGGGTTTTTAAAATAATTTTAGTGATGGTTTTTTCAATTCGAAATATTTATTTAAGAATCTCATAGTTCATAACTACCTATTCAATCATATATTTAGGATCTTGAACTTAACGATTATTATCAAGAATCAAATCATTAAAAGCAATTTTATCATCTAAAACATATTCACATAAAAGATTTCTTAATGCTTTTTCTGTTTAAAGCTAATTAAAATAAATGAATAAGTACATTAGGTCTTTTTTTAGGACTCTCAGTTCTACTCAATTTTAAAAGATTGCTTGAATTAAGACTTTATAATTTTCCATCATTCAACTATTCTTATAATGTTTTTTTAATTTCTTATATTCTTGGAGATTGTCCATTGATAGATCTATTTTAATAAAATGCTTAATTCCATTAATCAAAATCATGTTATCTTTTCGAAATGTTATTAAATACTTTAATCTTCTTATTTTATTTATTCAATTATTCTGTTTAGGTTTTTTGTAAATTGATTTTAGGAAGAGCTTAATTAGATTATGAAATTTCAATAGGTTTTATTGGTGATGAAATTCTTTCTTAATATGATTCTTCCTTTTATTTTTTTCTTGCTGATGATTTTTATAACGTAATGAGTTCATCATGTAAAATTTAAGAAACTGATCTACTCTTAATTAGCTATTGCATTGGCATATTCATACAAAACACTTTTTTTTATCTTTGCACTAGTGATTATTCAAAGGTACCAAAATCTTGATCTTAAATATATTTTAACATTTGCAATGCAATTAATTTATTATTAAATAAACTATATATGATTTATACTGTATTCAATTCCATTAATATATTTTGGTTCTCTGAATAAAAATTGTTATTTTCAAAAATGATATTTAGAACTATTTATATTTTGTAGTATTATTTTGATTTTCTAAATATTTAAAGATAATTATTAATCTAATTCTTTATTATAATATCATACACATCTAATAATCAATTTATTATTTACTTAATGTATTAATTAGAATTTAATATTATTTTGTTACGAATATAAACTTTTATTATTATTTATATATATTTGAATTTAGATTTTTATACATTCTTCCAATATTATTGCTCTATAGAATTTATTTATAAAATAGATAAAAATATTATTTTTTCGATTAATCAGTCTTTTATAACTAAAAATTTCAAGGATGAAATGTTTCATTTAAGTTTAACTGCTTTGATTTGTCTTGAAATTAGAAAAAATTAGATTTACAGATATTGAATATTTGCATTCTAATTCTGTAAAAATGAGTATAATATTCTTAATTGATACCCTATCAAATAGAGATTGTCAAGATTTTAATTTTGGATATATTAAAAAAAATGAATTATTATCAGAATTCTTCTTTCATACTACAAGTAATTTATTCATAATTTCTTTGTGTGATTAAAAATTTATATTAAAGTTCAAAATAGATACAATTTAGGATTATATTGACATAAAATTTATTATGAAAAATTATAATTCGTATCACTTATAGAGATAAACAACAGTCCCATCAGAGACTTCATCAGTAAAATCTTAAGTAACAGTTCAATCATATATAACTACTTCGCCTGTAAATATTTAAAATTAATGTGAATGATTAGAAATAACGAAACTAATTGCTTCGTTCATCCTTCAAAGTTTACTAAGAAATGAAATAGGAAATCAGCTAGAATTAATAATGTAGATTATCGTTAAGATTTGAATAAATCCATTTATTAATGGCTTCATAGAAACTGTTTTTGCATTTATAAAAAATGCAAGCTCTTTATAATAAGCAATAAAAATAAGAAGCATTTCAATTGATTTTAAGATTGGGTGCAATAGATTATAGCAATAGTAGTAGCATATTTAAAACTCCTTAAAGAAGTAATTCTCCTGGAATAGTGTCAAAAGATATAGGGTAATATATTATTATTAATAATATTAGAATGGAAAAAAATATACAGAATTAATAACTAATAAAGATAATATAAGATTTATAATCTTAAATTGCTGGTAAGGAACTTTTTAAGGCAATATATTTAATTTAAACAAAGATAATGAAAGATTGTATATACTAAATAAAATATAAAATAAAATTATCATAAAAATTTGAGAAAATTAAAAATATTTTAGATATTTCTTCAAAACGAAATGTATTAAATGAATTGAGGTTAAAGTTAAATAAGAGTAAAAAGATTGAAGCTGCAAGCTATTTATTGGCTTTTAAATTAGAAAAACTAATACAGAACTTAGAATTTACTTTTTATTATCAACTTAAATTATCATAGATGAAATAATAATTGATCACAAAAGAATAGATCTAATTAAAATTAAATGGATATAGCATAGGAGAAAAAAATGAAAACATAAAATTAATAAAATTTCATTAGATTATTATTAAAGTTTGTTACAGATTTCCATTTAATTAATTGAAAAATCAATATTAATAAATAGATTTAAATTAATAGAATAGTGTTACTTTTTAAAGATTTACATTTGGGCAATTACCATTAACAATGTCATAGTAAGATGCATAATTGTAGGAGACTTCACCAAAAAATGAAGATTAAAATGATTAAGAATAATAATCCTAATAATAACCAATTGTAGTGGTTTAAAAAAAAAAATCTATTTAAAAAATGAATGGAAAATTAGCAAATAAAATAAAATTATACAGTAATAACCGATATATTATTATTAGTTAACAAATGTGAGGAATAGAAATAATAAGCATAATTGTAGAAACTAGAATAAATATCAAAATTAACAAAAAAAAATTCTTTGGATGATATAGAATTAAAAAAACCCAAGTCTAATTCTAATGTTAAAAGTAAGTTATTCTTAATGGCAATATTTGTATTTCTTTCAATATTTATATTTCATGTAATTAATTGAATAATATAATATTATATGAAATTTAATCTAAAAGAAATTCAATTATTAGATTATTATTGAAATCTATCTAATATTTTTGGATTTAATTATTTTAAATAATGGGTATTTTTGTAAAATATTATTATCAAAACATAAACTTCATTACTTTAACTTTCTATCAGTTTTCATATTCTCTCAATCGGAATTTCATAATCTTAATTTATCTATAATTTATACATAATTGACTAAAGATTAAAATCAAAATTTCATTTAATATTAAATTAAACTATAATCAAGATAATTATTTTCTCTCTTTGAATCTTTAAATATCTTAATTCCTTTTAAATATATTAAATGAAATATCTTTTTGCCTTTTGTCTTTATTGTATTTTCCTAAGATTTTATATCTCTTATACTTTTTGGAACCAGATATCATATGTCTTAATAAAAATTAATAGCTTAAATTGATTTCTATAAAGTGATATTATGCTCACTTACATTTTCATTTCTATTTCTGATTAATTTATCATTCTTTCTGAATACTATTAATTGTTAGATTTGTTGATTAATTTTTGATTTTAATGAATATAGATATGAATAAACTTATAATATTTCTTAATTGTCTCACTATATACTGTAAATTATAAATAAGCATCGATATCTCTTATTTTTCAAATAGTGGTTAATAAAATATCTCTATCAAAGATACAATACCAATAATTAAAATTTGTTAACAATTTGATATCTTTTGAACAAATAAAGATATATAGTTTAAGATTATTTATATTTTTAGTTAACATAAAAATTAAAATAATTAAATGTCTCACGAAAAAAGAACTTCAGCAGATTTTTTTAAATAGGTATTTGGAAGAACAGTGAATGTGAAATTGCATAATAGAACAGAATATATTGGAGTTTTGGCTGCATTAGATGGAAATATGAATCTTGTATTGGAATAATGGTAATTTATAGGATGATTATATAATAGTGAAGAATATTTAGAATCGAAGCTCATCAATAAATATGGATAAATATTATTGAGAGGAAATAATGTACTTTATATTAGTGCTAAATTTAATCAAAAATAATAATAAGAGGAAGAAGTTTGATTTATTATGTATATTATATTTATTTTATATGGATTAAGAAATAAACCATTTCAATTTACCTGATATTAGGGATAAAGATGATTCAGATGATTAAGAAGATTATAATCCATTTATTTATCATCATTAATAAGAAGGATATCATTCATTTGAAAAAATGTTTTAGAATCATTTCGATATTGTAAATAACAGATGGATTACAATTCCTAGAACAAAAATTTATTTATTAAGATCAGCTATGCATAAATTGAAAAAATGGTTACTTTATTTAAGACAAGAGCATCACATGATTTAATCTATTGTTAAATAAAATGATGATCTAAAGACTCAATTAAAAAAGAACCAAGAATAAAATTCTAATCATTATCTTGTTGAATAATAGAGGACAAATCAAGTATTTCTAAATAAATTATTACTAAGTTGTATGAGGA